ATACGAAAATGCCTATATCATTCTGTAACCCGCATGCCTCCTTCTCTGTAACTGATGTTAAATAATAACACATGAGTTCTTTTTTTTGGTGGGGGGGACTGTTTTGAGTAGTACAATAGTTATCTTTTGGAAAATATGTGTTAATGTCGCTTATTCAGAGAAATTAAGTTTTTGCGTTCGATTTTGTAACTTGAAATGTCGTCTGCGCTTATTAATTAGCATATTTGAATCACTCCATCGAGGCATTAAGTTAGAATCCAAGAGCTAGAACATCCGATCGTCAGATCAAACTTTATTTAGAGTAGTAATTTTTTTTGTCTTTGGCGCACTGTGCATAAGCACACCGGACAAAAAATTAGTCATCCTTACAGAAATTATGTAATACAAAAACAATTACTTAATTGATAAAGTACACTCCTTTCACTCCAATATATACACATTAGAGTATGCGACTTTTTAAGAGAATTGGTGAGTTTCTATGCTTCAATAATTTTAGCAGGTTTCAAGGGTACATTAAAATACGAAAATGCCTATATCATTCTGTAACACGCATGCCTCCTTCTCTGTAACTGATCTTAAATAACAACACGTGAGTTCTTTTTTTTGGTGGGGGGGACTGTTTTGAGTAGTACAATAGTTATCTTTTGGAAAATATGTGTTAATGTCGCTTTTTCAGAGAAATTAAGTTTTTGCGTTCGATTTTGTAACTTAAAATGTCGTCTGCGCTTATTAATTAGAATATTTGAATCACTCCATCGAGGCATTAAGTTAGAATCCAAGAGCTAGAACATCCGATCGTCAGATCAAACTTTATTTTGAGTAGTAATTTTTTTTGTCTTTGGCGCACTGTGCATAAGCACACCGGACAAAAAATTAGTCATCCATACAGAAATTATGTAATACAAAAACAATTACTTAATTGATAAAATACATTCCTTTCACTCCAATATATACACATTAGAGTATGCTACTTTTTAAGAGCATTGGTGAGTTTCTATGCTTCAATAATTTTAGCAGGATTCAAGGGTACATTAAAATACGAAAATGCCTATATCATTCTGTAACACGCATGCCTCCTTCTCTGTAACTGATCTTAAATAATAACACGTGAGTTCTTTTTTTATGGGGGGGGGGCTATTTTGAGTAGTACAATAGTTATCTTTTGGAAAATATGTGTTAATGTCGTTTATTCAGAGAAATTAAGTTTTTGCGTTCGATTTTGTAACTTAAAATGTCGTCTGCGCTTATTAATTAGCATATTTGAATCACTCCATCGAGGCATTAAGTTAGAATCCAAGAGCTAGAACATCCGATCGTCAGATCAAACTTTATTTAGAGTAGCAATTTTTTTTGTCTTTGGCGCACTGTGCATAAGCACACCGGACAAAAAATTAATCATCCTTACAGAAATTATGTAATACAAAAAAAATTACTTAATTGATAAAATACATTCCTTTCACTCCAATATATACACATTAGAGTATGCGACTTTTTAAGAGAATTGGTGAGTTTCTATGCTTCAATAATATTAGCAGGATTCAAGGGTACATTAAAATACGAAAATGCCTATATCATTCTGTAACACCCATGCCTCCTTCTCTGTAACTGATCTTAAATAATAACAAGTGAGTTCTTTTTTTTGGGGGGGGGGGCTGTTTTGAGTAGTACAATAGTTATCTTTTGGAAAATATGTGTTAATGTCGCTTATTCAGAGAAATTAAGTTTTTGCGTTCGATTTTGTAACTTAAAATGTCGTCTGCGCTTATTAATTAGCATATTTGAATCACCCCATCGAGGCATTAAGTTAGAATCCAAGAGCTAGAAGATCCGATCGTCAGATCAAACTTTATTTAGAGTAGTAATTTTTTTTGTCTTTGGCGCACTGTGCATAAGCACACCGGACAAAAAATTAGTCATCCTTACAGAAATTATGAAAAACATTCAATTCCATATAACACCGCCGCTGGATTCAATAACCACCTGGATTTGGTTAGGAAGTGAGTCCAGAAGGTTTTGCAGGTACGTTGAATCCAGTATTCCACCAAATCCACCAAATTGCGAGGATGCTGATTTCGACGTTCTACCTGTTGTTCCAACATATTCCACATATATTCTATGGGGTTCAAGTTAGGTGATTTTGCAGGTCAGTCGAGATGTAATTGAGTATATGATTGTTCGTAAAACCAGTCGCAGATTCTTCCACCCCGATGAACTTTGCAGTAGTCATCTTGATAAATAGGGGTATTGACAGCAAACTTTCCATGAAGATGTTGTTTGAAAGGCAACATCTAATCATCCGGAATGTTCAAATAAACATGTTGATTCATGTTACTTGTCATCTGAGTGAGGGGGCTTAATCCATAGTAAGAAAAACACTCCCAAAGCATGACAGACCCACCCTCGGCCGGAACCTGTCCTTGCACTCAGTCAAGATGATATGCTTCATATGCTCTTCGTAGCACACGACGGCGTGCGTCCTTCGAATAAAAGCAAGAACCTGGTTCTTCAGACCATATTATTTTTCGCCAGTCAGCAACTGTCCATGTTCGGTGACTTCTAGCCTAATGAAGTGGCGCAGCTTAATGTGCCTGCGTTAGCAATGGCCTCTTACGAGGTGTTCGACTCCAATTGTTCATTGCATGCAGCTCCTGTCGCAATGTTTCTCACTAACAGGTTAGGGTGGATCTTCATTTATAAACTGAAGCAATTCCTGTCGGGATTGGAAGCGATTTTGAATGACAAGTCGTGAAACACGTCTCCGGTCATTTTATGTAGATATATAATATCATAGCTGGTGTTACTTTTTTTTGTATAGAGTGCTGCTAATTGGTTCATCAGAAAAGAGATGCCTGTAAAAGAACTTTCAAATAATGGCAAAGTTAATATTTGCTTTATCGATGAAAGTTATACAGAAATTGCTTAAAATATTTTTCAATTCATGTTTCATTTCAGAGTTGAAATTTAAAACAATTTAATTTATCACTATGCTTACAAATCAATTTATTACTATTCAGTTTCATATAAATTTAAAAATTAATAATTAATAATATTATATATATATATATATATCATTTA